GCACTTGTTCCTTGTTGTAGAGGTCCCTGGATCAAACTTTTGTCTATAGTAGCCATAGATTGGAAAGTTGTGTCGGGGTAGGTGTATGCCTGCCCGTCGGGCTTCGACTTATTTTTAGGGTGCCCAGACATATAGCGTCTGTTGTGTCTATCGGACGAAGACTTGTTTGATGTTGGATGAATCGGCGGGTTACCTCTCTTTTCATTGACGTTAGATTTATGGCGGTATGAGGGCTTATTCTGCTTCCCTGGTTTAGTGGTATGATTGGGGTCGCTTAAGTTAATGTTATCTGGTTCGCTGCTGAGAAACCTATCAGTGATGTGTTTGAGTACAGGTATTCTGGATGGCAGGGTTATTTTACTTCGTTTTGTATGCTCACTAATCTGAGTGCTGCTCGGGGAGGATATGCTTAATGCTACATGCTCGAGCTTAGTCTTTTGCTTAACGTTGGTAGTGGTATTAGCGGCTGATGGTGATGTGGCTAGCGAGCATAACTCTGAAGATGCATCTAAGTCTATGACCGTAGTTGCTTCATCGTTGAGTTTACTAGGTAAATTTTTATTATTTAAGAGTATTTCATGTATGTCTGTACCATTAGGTTTACTCAAGTTTAAGGCGACAGAGTCTTCTATAGGACATTCTGCTGTTACGTAAGTTTTTGCGACACTTGGTACACTTGCGCGGCTACGTCTTTGACATGGCGTTAGGTCATGGGCAAGTTTAATATTACCATAAGGTGTGGATGAACTAATTAACTTATTTGACGACTGAAATTTCCTAGCATCATTAGGACTACTGAATTTAAACAGCACAGGGCAAGTATACTTTCCTGATTTTTTCCTGAGTCTGATTAGGTGGCAATTCGCTGATGGCATGCCACACGCTTGGAGACATGTCACTTTGATTTTGTCCAGAGGCGTCCGATCAGGCAGATTGTAAGCGAGAACGTTGTACGAGGACATGATTCGTTTAGTAACTTCACTGGCTATAAAGTCTAACATACGCTCAGATTTCAGCAGACTTTCCGGATTAGCATCATGAGTTGGGTTACAAAGAAGCAGTAGTGGCTTAATGGTGTTTATATTCTCATTTAATTCCTTCACAGAGTTTCCTAGAGATATAAGGTCCAACTTATTTTGTTCAGCAGTTGCATATACCTCTGACAACAAGTCGGGAACAATGACTTCGGGGACATTGTTGAGGCTACGCGGAACGCACAGTGATGTACGTATCTTCTTAGCTGAGTGACCCAAACTATTCTTACGTATGGAAAGTACTCGTTTATTACGTTGTGCCATTGCTGAAAACTAATCAATATGGTTTAAAGTTAAAGCCGAGCTAAATCGAAAACGGGTATATGGAAAAATAGTATATCGAGTGGATATACAGATTAAGTACTACTATGGATACCGTATGGAATTTTATTGCTTATAAATAAACAATAAATTTACAAAGTACTAAAAAGTAAAATACAGAGTATATAGAAACCAATTATCCTGTAAATTGATCCTGGTATGTAAACCAAAAAATGATGAACTTCTCTACAGTTTTCTTTTCTGTGACGTTGTTCTAAAGTTACAATAAGGAGGATGAGCCCTGCGAAAGAGTGGATCCAAACTTGATAACTGGCGGTGATATATCTGCAGAATTGGAAGCTAGAGTAGCAGCCAATATAAGTTATAGTTGAGCAGTGGTATAATATCCACTACAATATTCCAGAAATCGACAAAAATATATCCACGTTATGGGGAGAGATTGTAACGTCCGATCAGAATCGCGCGCGCAATACTGCGACGATTTTCCAACCTAGGGCGTCAATCTGAGAAGGGTTGTAGGCGTATTGCTGTAAGTCCTACAGTTCTTCAAAGGGTAGCGCATCAATGAGCAGTCCAATGTGCTTGGTGTATGATCTTGTACATATGTTCATATTGTATATGCTGAATTGATATCATCTGTCATCTAGCTGTTGGTAATTCTGTTTGTGTCCGGACATTCCGCAACTTACAATGGTCAACGTGTGTAGGTTTGTAAGCGTACTGCTGTAAGTCCTGCAATTCTTCAAATGAATTCCATCAAGACATGATCGGCGAGGTTGTTTGTACTATTTGTATATACGTGTGGTGTGTCATATCAATTGGTGTTTTTTGGATTAATTGTGTTTACTCGTTGTTTTCGTATCTTGTTGTTATTGCGTAATTTTGTTAAAATTTTCTTCGTGATTACTTCTGAAGTTGTTTCGAGTCTTCTACATCCGTGAATGAATTGATTGATGTTAAGGACAGCAGATTGGTCGTATACGCCGGGGAGGCTAGGCTATTGCTGAGAATGAAATGCACACGGAGATAATTGTTAGCTGCGGTCCAACACGCCGGGGAGAAAGAGTGTAAACGACTGAGGCTCGCATACATCACCGTTACTAGAACTGAGGCAGAATGAGTGACAAGCGATTTCAGTGGTAATTAGTAATGAGTAGATAAGAGGATGTGCGTAGAGTATCGAGAGGTGCTGCCATGGTCACTTTGCATTCTGCAAGAGTCATTCTAGCAAGTGGCGATTGTGTTGCAAGATGTCAAGAGGAGGCCTTTATCTGGAGGCGCAGGTCGTCAGCGATGTGTGAGATTGTGCTGTGGGTATGCTTGTGGTGTGTTGGCTTTTCTGTTTGTTTTCCATTTCAGCTCTGTCCATGTGACCCAGGTTCTCGCAATGGCATCCAAGTCAACGTGTATTGGTCGTGAAGAAAAACAAGGGATGGATCCCTCTTTTGCCGGGGAGTGTCAATGTAGTTGAAGATTGAACGATCAATTCATGGTTGTTTGCTCAAAATCAACTTCCCCAATTTTCGCGGAGGCATCAATACGACAGTCATCGTCTCATCGGTCGCTGTTCAGAAAGAAGAGTGAAACATCGTCAGAAGTAATACAATGATTTATTATTGTAATATTTGTTTTCAGGCCTTAGTTCACTTATTCTTTTTATATGTTGGTGTAACAATAAAGAAATATCAAGCGGCAGATCGGTGTTTTGGTTTTTTCGTCCGTTATAACTAAGCGTTTCTGAAATCTTCAAGGAACAGCGTGGGCCCCAGCGTAGCGAGAGCTGGGCATTAACAGTTTATGAGACGTGATTGACACCAATGGTTTCAGGAAAATTTATTTAGTTTTCTTAAAGACCATGGACATCCATATTTATAGCCACGGAGATATCACAAACATCCACAGAAAAGGAATTTCATTATATGAAATGAAACAAGTAATCTGTATTCAGCGAATAATTTCACCCCGAGTAATAATCAGCTCCTCAGCTTGTTGTAGACCACAACCCGAATGTTATTCTCGCTAATTAAAGTCTTACCTTTAACTGGGATAGTTCGTACACTCACCAGGTCATCATGTTATCCACTTTTGAAGTGGTTTTGCAACACACTGAATGGCCGTGAACAACGGCTTTGCTACAGGCTGTCTTAGTTCATGTATTTGGTTCTAGTACATTGGGCATTAATAAGGATAGGTAACACTTACCGTTCAAGGGGTTCTCATTGCTTTCAAGTCGAAAGCTACATACCGGCACAACAGATTCACACTTCTCATGTGACTCAACCTTGTTTGATTTAGATTCTCTGACAATACATCTGATTCTCTAACTGATAATATACACTGATGGTATACTCAGCTTCTCGAAAAGCTTCAAAGGTTTTTCAACTTCAAACCACGTTCTGAAATCTCCAGGTTTAATATGCTCTTCGTAAACCTAGCCAATATCCAACATGATCGTATTCTCCTCACCAGATTGACTCACAGATTGCTGCAAGCTGTAAACATGATTGTAAAAGACATTGTTTTTTCCAGATTTCTACATACCAATTAATCAGTTGAGCAAGAAACAATAATGGTAACCAGCAAACGAACTAAAAACAACGGCTTTTGTCAGCTAAACACGTTCACATGCATATTTTCCAAAACTTCTACGCAGCACTACTTCATTAGTAGCTGAAAAACAACTAAAACATTGCAACCAGGCATGAAAACAACGTGTGAAACAATTGTAGTGGAATGGATGCACTGCCCTGGTGGTAAAAACTTCCGAAACATACGAAATTAGTAACTTTAACAGCAACGGAAACAAAAATTAGGTGAAATACAACATTTGTGGACAATGCGCATCAAGATAAGTTGTGAATAAATGGAGGATAAACGGGAAAACCGATGTGTAAACAAACGGCTACGGAAATGCAATCGAACATGGCCGACTAATATGGACGAAAATGACTTTCGAGCGTCTCACTCCGCCATTGACCTTGAACATGCTGGATAATTTCAGCCGATCATTTCAGTTCATAAGGTGTTGGATGATGAATAGCCTCCTCAAAACGCGCCACATTTGTTGTTTGTAGGTCATGTGGTTCGTTCTCGTTTTCCTCTCTTGTCCTTCATTTTTAATCCTTATTCTGACCTTAAGGATAACCGGCTTTTATACACTTTTCACGTGCCAGCTTTCAACAACACTAGGAAGTAAAGAGTGGCCATGTTTAGACAAAATAGGACTCTAATGTCCTTAAAATACTAAAATAAGCACTAAAGAAGTACAACGCATGCATTATTTGGTTTGACTGCTGTTGGAAACTCTGGTTAAAGACATGTAGTCCCTTCTACTGACTTGGCTTTATTCATTCGCTATCTTTATCCCCTTGTAAAATAACATTCTTTTACCATTTCTTATGTTCCAGGGCATTCCACAATTTTCATCTTTTTGTCTTTCATTTCTTTCTGTGGATTTCTGTACATTGACGATAGCTTATACAGTTGTCAGGACGCTACAAATTGGCTTGCGGTTTTTAAAAGAACTATTTGCACCATAATCAGTGTAACTACTTCATAAGCATATAAATACCTAAAAATATACAGATAGGTTTTTGAATTTGTGAATAGTCCACCTGTTTTCTTGATATCTGTCTTTGCCCAAATCGTATCAGCTCTTCTATCTGAAATATTTTGTTTAACTTAGTCAGAGTAATATCTATGAGTTCAATATGAGTTCAACTTTAAGCGCGCTCCTTGAATACGACGTGCTTTTTCCAAAATCTCCGGAAAATACCAATTCTGTGAATTATCCGTTTGGGAAACCTGATCTTCCTAGCCGGTGAATTTAATTCAACCATTACTTACATAGTAAATCTCTGTGTGGTAAGTCCAGCTGTCTCGAACTACTGCCAAAGCTTCAGGTGCTACTTTTGTAGCAGCATCTTCCTCACTCGTTCAGAGAAACAAGACTTGTTGGTCTACCACGTGATTGCCGTGAAGCCGATTATCCAGAAAGTACTAGGTAAACTCGAAAACCTTTTCTTTTCCTTGCCTTATACTTTTTCAGTCTTATTCTTGCTCTTTTGGTTAGAAACTGTTGCTCTCTTAGACGTACATAGCATAATTTATAGTGATTGGTAATATGGTTGTCGAAAGCAGCCTTAAAAAAGCCACTAGAATACCGTACTCTGTAGTCACAAGGGCTTCAGCCAGGGAAGGAAAAAATCCAGGGATTTCAACCCCTTCCCGCATACCGATCCTAAAGACTCGTGTAGCTTTAGTCTGCCCTGATACAACGCCTGCATTGCCACAGTCTAGTACTGAAACGGCACAGACAATACCAGGGGGACAGAATTCTACACCTGCATCAACTGTAGGCCAGTGTGTGAAACACATCAAGCCTAAAAGGAAACGTTCAAGACGTCATAAGACCTCGAAGGCGTCATCAAGGAAAGGGGATGAATGCCAGGCGTGCAGCATCACAGTTTCTAAAACTGATTCAGCGTTTGAATGTAATTTTTGCAAACGATGGGTGCACTGCCGTTGTGACAAAGAAGTACCGAAAGCATACTATGAGTTTATGAGAAATAACCCATGCCCATGGTTTTGGTACGTGTGTCCACTTTGTCGCCCTGGCATAGTCCCACAAAGCGTGTCTGCGGATAGCAGAAATAACACGCTCTTGTGCCCCAACACAGTATCATGCAGCTCCCCCCTGCTAAACTCGCACTGCCGAAACTGGTCAAAGACTTAAAGAAGGACACACCAGCCCTACTGACTGGAAATGCCAATTCTCACAAGGTGAAGATTAGCAAGGTTCCATCCACATCAGGGGTAGGCAAAATTACAAAGGCACCACTTGCATCCACTAGCAAGCCTGGCAACACAAAAAAGGCTGTCCAGGTACCGATGAAGCCTAATGTTGCTAATGATGCAAAGGACTGCAAGAAGCCGAAGGCAAAACCTAAGTCTGAGGGTAGTCGGTCTAACTCTCTCATCCTCTTTAACGTACCTGTGAGCACGGATAGCTTGCTCGAACAACGGGCCCTGTTTGATCAGGAACAGTGGTCCAACCTGTGCGGCAAACTAGGTCTGAACATTAGTTCAGCAAAACTGTGCAGACTGTACAGGGGTGTCCACACGCCTCAGGGTAAGCCACCCCCATTACGGGTTACACTGGACTCTGCCGAAGAGGCCGAAAAAGTACTGTTAATGGCTCAGGTACTAGCCCTGGACAGAAGTTCTAACATAAGGGCGCGGCAAGATAGACCATGGGCTGTCAGAAATATGGCGAGGGAGTCACCGGAACTGATGCCTTCCACCTCTATGGTGGTACACGGTGTTCCGGAGCTGGAAACCGGCACTGCTTGTGAAAAACACATGCACGACGTACAACAATGGAGATGGCTGTCATCTCAGATGGCCCCTGGCGCTTCTGGAGCCATCTCCATTTTCCGACTACCTCGTCCCGCTCATCTAACATTGATTAACTCTCCAAAGCTGCTGTGTGTCACATTCAACTCCCCGGAGCAGTTGTCCATATCACTTCAACGGTGGTATGAGACCAAGGGAAAAATTGGAGGACACATCCGATGCTGTGAAAGCAGACCCAGAAATATAAGGAGGCAGCAAACTGAGGCTTTAATACGACCCCAAGCTTCGGTGACACTAGAGCGATGCAGCTCTGAGAATAATAGTCTGTGTCTCCCAAGTGTCCTGCCTAAATCCATTGAAAAAAACTACAACGGGCCGGTTCTATCGGAATCGGCCAACTAGTTCCAACATCAAGTCCCCCACCAGCAGACGGTTTCACGTCAACTACCCCACAACACTCTGAGGTTGTTAGACTCACTGTCAGTTGCCTATATAGCAATGTGAGGGGGCTGAGAGGGAAAGTAGGTGAACTTCGAAATCTCCAAGCACACCTTCAACTGAAAATAATCATTCTTACTGAAACGTGGCTAAACCCCACTATCGCCGACAATGAAATCAGTATAGGTGATATGGTACTGGTCAGAAGAGACAGGGATAATAAGGAAGGAGGGGGAGTTGCTATATACTTTGATAGGCAACTTAAATGTGTGCGCGCAACGGACCCACCACTTATCGAACTCCCAGACTCCATATGGTGTCATTTCACCGTAGGCCACACCAAGCACTTACTGGGTGGCATCTACCGATCTCCCACCTGTGGGGCAGAGCACAATCAGCTACTGCTCAGCACTATCACAGGAATACGAGATTTGGGCTACGACCAAATCACCATAGCTGGAGATTTCAATGCTCCATCACTGAACCTCGGCTCCGGGTGTGCTAAGGGAAAATTTGGCCGAAACCTACTGCAAACTATTCGAAACACGGGACTGACTGAGAATGTTGGAGACGACACTAGGTGGGGCCCTAGTGGAAAGTCATCAAAACTAGATTATATTCTAACTAGTGACCAGCTACTCGTCGAAAAGGTCCAGATCATGACTCCTCTGGGAAGCAGTGACCATGCAGTCATAGGTTTCGATCTTGTCCTCCGTGAGCGTTTGCAATGGGATGTTACGCGACCATGTCTGTGCTACAGCAAGGCTGACTATGCTGAAATGCGGAGGCTCTTGTCCGACGCAGACTGGCCCTTAGCATGGGACGACCTATCTGTGGATGAACACTGGGAAGTGGTAAAAAAGATTATCCATACAGCAATCTCGGATACCGTCCCTTTAGTCACAACACAGCCTAAGAGAAAGACGTCATGGTTGAAGAGAGGCACGCAACGTATTCTGCAAGCAAAGCGGAAGGCTTGGTTTACGTGGCGTGTATCTAAGAGTCAGACCGACCATGATGCATACCTCGAACTCAGGAACCGGTGTAATGCAAGAGTTAGGAGGGACAGAAGGTCATTCCAGGCTAACCTTGCTAAAAAACTCCTATCAAACCCTAAAAACTTGTACCGATTCATGTCGGAAAGAAAACCGACAAACCAAGGGGCATGCGCCTTAGTAGGCCCAAACGGTCAATATCTCACTAGTCTGGAGATGGCTGAAACATTCAGTTCAGCCTTCGCTAAACAGCTAAACAGCAATGTGGATATTACAGTTACGGACCAAAATGGTGGCACCACTATTTCAGAGGAGGAAGACCTAGCGACTACTCCCCAAATAAACCCCGCAATAGTACTAAGGAAGCTACAGCGACTCATACCTGGGAAGTCCCCAGGTTGTGATGACATCAGGCCATCTGTTCTGAAACAGTGCGCCGAGGCTCTCTGTAGACCCCTGTGCGACTTGTTCCAACACTCAATGGATTCGGGGACCCTGCCAAGGGAGTGGAAAAGAGCCATCCTTTCTCCAATCTTCAAGGGTGGGGACAGGCAAAACGCTGCTAGCTATAGACCAGTAGCTCTACTCCCAGTGGTATCAAAAGTACTGGAAAGTATTATTGACGACCACATCAGGGAATATTTCGATAGGACTAATATACTACATGAAGCCCAACATGGTTTCAGAAAAGGCAGATCCTGCGTCACTAACCTACTGTCAGCTTGGGACGACTGGACATCATGCTGGGACTTGAACGTACCAGTCCATGTGGTCTTCCTAGACTTTGAGAAGGCATTTGACACTGTTCACCATGACCTTCTCCTACATAAAATAAACCAGGCAGGCATAGGTGAGCCACTTCTGTCATGGTTGAAGGACTACCTAGCCGACAGGCAATTTTGCACTAAGGTTAACCGAGTCCGATCATCTTGGCACAGATCGTCATCAGGAGTGTCGCAGGGTTCTATCCTAGGACCACTGATGTTTTTGATTTTCATCAATGATCTACCACGCCGTCTGAGCTGCCCGACTCTCCTGTACGCTGACGACGTAAAAATATGGAGGGCGATAAAGTGTCCGGAGGACTCAGATAGGCTACAGGAAGACCTAAACCTTCTGGAAGACTGGGCGGTGGCCAGTGGCATGACTTTCAACTTGAAAAAGTGCAAAGTAGTGAAGTTGCGCACCTGTAGACTGCAGAATGCAAGTTACACCCTGTGCAATGAAAGCTTGTCCTGCACAACGTCGGAACGCGACTTAGGTCTAGTTCTAACGGAAAAAATGGACACAAGCGTAAATTACACAGGGGATGTAGCGAGGGCATATGCGGTCATACACTTTACGCATAGACAGTTAGGTGCACTCACTCCTGAGCTCTTTCTAATGTTGTACAAAACATACGTCAGGCCACACCTTGAGGTGCATAATATTATTGCACCCCCAATGCTGAGAAGAGATGCCAACCTCTTGGAAAGAGTCCAACGACGGGCAACAAAAGGAGTGGTTGGTCTCCGAAACAAACCATATGATGAAAGGCTGAAGAAATTAGGCCTGTTCACACTTAGTTACCGTCGGCTTAGGGGGGATTTGATTACTGCCTACAAAATAACAAATGACCAGAATCACCCAAACAAAGGTGTTCTGCCATTGAGTAGGTATAGGCTTCCACGTGGAAATCCCAGAAGGATAGCTCACCAGAGGGCAAGGACCCGGGTGCGCTCCCACTTCTTTTCACTGCGGGTTTGTCGTCCCTGGAATTCCTTACCGGCAGATGTAGCTATGGCACCGTCTTTGGACGCCTTTAAGCGAAGGCTGGACAACCATGCAGCGATACAAGGACTGCATCCAAATGGCCTATCTCCTTAAAATCGCATATACCAATCAGGGTAGATAATTAAACTCGTCACTTTACTTCTTTACATTCTCTCCCGTCTTACTCTCCTGACAACTTATTAATATTATAATTACTATTATTATTATTACTATTACCGATATATATATTATTCTTCAAACTTAATGAGCTGACTGTTGTTACGTTTCCTATTTTCGTTTCTGTCTCTTAGTCTGAATAGCTTCACTAATTATATTTATTATTATTATTATTATTATTACTATTATTATTATTAATCTCTTTTCTCTTGTCGACAATACCGAAGGGCTTACTGGCGAAAGGATCAACTCCAATCACAGTAGTAACAGTCTTAACATACCTCATACTACAAACCACATATAATTAATCCCAGCACTACTCCCTTTGGAGTCAACCAAAGCTACGACAGTCGAGTGGCGGGACAAGCTACGCAGAAGTTTACCGAAGATCAAGAACCTATACCTCACAATCAAGAAGCGAGCACAAAGAAATCCAATTGGTTTATACTAGCTCGTAAAAACGATATTGGAGGTATAAACAGTGAAGTTATTCGGACTAACAGACGGATAGAGAAATAAAGAAAACGTAGCAACAGCCAGCTGATTAAATTTGAAGAATAATATGAATTATATATATATATATATCATTATTATCGATATATATATATATCGATAATAATGATAATAATAATGTGTAGTTATAGTTTTCAGAAGAGTAAGACGGGAGAAAATGTAAAGAAGTCAAACGACGAACTTAATTGACTACCCCTGAATGGTGTATGATTGTCCAGCCTTCTCTTAAAGGTGTTTACTGACTGTGTAATGGCCACGCTTCCTGGTAAGGAATTCCAGGGACGGCAAACCCGCAGTGAAAAGAAGTGAGAGTGCACCCGGGTCCTTACCCTCTGGTGAGCTATCTTTCTGGGATTTCCACGAGGGAGCCTATACCTACTCAATGGCAGAACACATTTGTTTGGGTGATTCTGGTCATTTGTTATTTTGTAGGCAGTTATCAAATCCCTCCTAGTCCGACGGTAGCTAAGTGTGAATCGGCCTAATTTCTTTAGCCTTTCATCATATGGTTTATTTTGGAGATGCAACCATTTTATTTAGGGAAGTAAAATAATTCAGTTTAAAAATAACAGACTTTATCCAGGTCTATATATACGTGACAATTAGGATAACTCTTCTGCTCACTTCACAAAAATATTTCCCATTAATTACTGCAGTTTGTGTGAAGTTTTACCTTGAAATATGTGTTCACCTAACTAAAATAACCGATTATTTGATAGTAGTCACAAGCCTACTAACATCTAAATATTAAGAAGACATATTAAGGATTGTAAGCAGAAACTAATGACCTAAAGAAATTAAGCTGTTTTATAATTCACCGAATTAGTTTGTATGACCATTGTACACTATAAATGTGTTGTTATACCCACAACAATAGTCTCATGTCTCATTTTAAAAATCGAATAAGGATTACTCATAGTAATAAAAGTGAGTTAGTTCTCTCTACCACTAATAGTTACTACATTTCTTCAAAAATACTAAGACCATCATCAGGCTATCTGTCAAATGAAACTAATCACTGGGGCAGTGTTCATCTCTTGATGAAGTACTCATGTTATTTTGCGTTGACTAATTTCTATAACGGATATTGTATTCAGATGAAAATCAATGGAAAAGTTGAGAGAAATTTTTTTACTACTCCTTTTTGATCTGTGTTCTTTTTCACATTTTAATTCCTACAGTTTTTTTTTTACCTGAAAGTGTACATGCATACTTTTCAGTTCGTTTTTGACATGTTCAGTTTATATGGTCTTTTTATTATTCTTGTTGTTGGGAATTTCAGGTTTATTCTCGTGGAATGGCATCTCTAAGTGATATTTTATTGCCATGGGATCATACACAGCATACGAATAGTCTATTTTTAACATTCAAGAATGCAGATGGATGTATTGTATGTTAAGTTTTTTGTGTGTGGATAAATCAGTGTCACTACAAATTTCTATTTTTTTAAGGTTCATGTACCAGTTACTACATCGAATATTAATGCTTTGAGAAACAGTTCAGAATCATTTGTTATAGATAAACTCAATGAACTAATGAATGAAGAGTTTGGACATACAGGTATTTTTTTTCTGATTGAAAAATACCCATTAAAATCTTTTTCAAAAGAATAGATATTGAACAAAGAATACTCTTTTCGATAACCCCTTCATCATCAGGCTCTACAGTTATATATCCATCCATTATAGTGAATGAATGAATGAATTAGTGTTATGAACAACAACATTAATGTTGCTGTTTAAATAACATCGAATCACATTGATAGATTACAGCTGAATAGCATCAACATAAAATAAGCTGAATGTGAGACAGACAAATTAGGAAGGATAATATTACAAATTCATGAATTCATAGTCTCTACTGAAGGCCGGCCAGGGCAGTAGTAGGGGCTGGCTGGATTTGTTTCTTCTGCATACATAGCACCGGTTGTTTGAGGCGAATTGCAATAGCCTCTGGTGTTTGGAGCATGCAGTGCTTCGATGATTTGGGCAATTTATTAAGCACTCGGTAGATGATGATAGAGAAGGATTCTTCAACGCTGGCTGGCTGGCTTTGTGACCGGCCAGTTTGGACCAGATGGTCCAATATCGAACTGTTGATGGTGATTTTCACTACACCTTTACTTAGCCATAGTGGGAAATGTTCTCGAGCTTTCTTTTTCTACTTAGCTTATTTATTTATTTCCTATTTTTTATTTAGTTCAAGAACATGGTCCACATTTATATCCTGGATCAACATTTTTCCTTGATAGTAATCCCCGAGTAAGTTATCATTTTGCTATAATAAACTTTTCGCGTGTGTGTATACATATGTGATATTTATTGTTTAAAACACGGAGTGTTTTTTATATATATTTAGACAAAATTACTTCAAATTATTTCAAATGGAATTAATACCTCTTAGTTTGAAGTAAAATTAAACTATCTTACATATGATAGAGAAGATTTGTAGCTCAGATGGATGATTTTAATGTGGTTGTGTTCTCTGAGCTAGCTGGATAGTTAATTTGCGAAGCTTTCATCGCCCTACCTGCTAGGCAACATCTTCAGCGAATACTTCAATTTGTTGAAGTGAGCTTTCAGATTTCTCCACAAGTTTATTAATCATCTCTCCTGGTCGGTGACCATCTTGGATGTGATTGGTTGTTTTTGTGTGTTTTCACACCTAGGTTACTTGTATTGGAAGTGATTGTTTCTTTGACTTGAACTTTGACATTTTGTGTGTGAGGTTTCTTTCTTATCGGTTGATAAATTTTGTCTATCTCGACGTGTCTATATCAGAAATCACTACAAGACTCTTCAAACCTTCAGGGTTTGACGTCGTACACAAACCAACAAAGTCACTTCACTCAATTCTATGTAAACCAAAACACAGACTCAACAACGAAAAAAGATAAAGCCAACATCATCTACATAATAAATTGTACCAACTGCGAAAAACACTATATTGACCAAATTGTACCACTACTTCGTCTCGTATCCACTAACATAAGCTAGCTGTCAAAAGACATGATATCCACTCCCTCATATCGCCGCACTACATACAGATAACCACGGACATCAATTCGACTGGGACAACCAGCGTTCAAATATTAGACAGAGGAAACAACAAGAATGCTAGAGAATTTTTAGAAGCCAGTCTGGTATTCCAGTGAATCATCAATCAATAGACACATCGAGATAGACAGAATTTACCAACCGATAAGAAAGAAGCCTCACACGCACACACACACAAAGGGTCAAAGTTCAAGTCAAAGAAACAATCAGTTCCAATGCCACAAGTAACCTAGAAGGTGTGAAAACACATAAAAACAACCAATCACATCCAAGATGGTCACCGACCAGGAGAGATGATTAATAAACTTGTGGAGAAATCTGAAAGCTCACTTCAACAAATTGAAGTATTCGCTGAAGATGTTGCCTAGCAGGTAGGGCGATGAAAGCTTCGCAAATTAACTATCCAGCTAGCTCAGAGAACACAACCACATCGAAAAAAGCGTCCTGACCGCTGTGCCACCGACTCACTGACATGTAATTACTGTTTGTGAATAAACAGTATTACTGTTAGACGATAACTCTTAAATACTGTATCACCTCTTACGGTCAGCAGATAGGAGAACTGTGGATGGCTGGTGTATATCATTGATTGCTGATGGCTAACGGAATCTTTGCGAAAGATGAAAAGTTATTGATAACAAGGAAGAAATACCAAAAACATCAGAATGTAAACAAAAATTATGATAGGAACATAATTCTTGCCAAGTAAGGGAAGTAAGTGCACGTTTTGTCTTTGGACACAACAACTAAGTTTAAAGTCTTAGATTGTCAATGATTCCGATGTGTATAATTGTTGTGTTTGCAGTCCGTCTTATTGAGATAGTGTGAAATTTTGAAGGTCAGTATGAAGCGGTCCTGTGGAGGTGCCCGATGCGTAGAATTGGTAAAATGCCGAAGAAAAATCCTATTAATATTCTTCTTCCATCCCCCCTAATTATCCAAACAAGATGTTGTTGCGAAATACACTAGGGGATATGGTGCTGTGTAAGGCGGATATACTTTACTCCACAAGAAGAAGTGGACTGGTGAATGCACATTGTGTGGTGAACGACAATTGGTTTTCAGTCTTTAACGTATTAATATACTAATTTATCTAAAGTTCTCACCTATGTGGATTGTCTTTCACTACTTTTCTTTCTATATGTTGTTTAGATGCATGCAAAATTCTCTACTACTTCATTTGTAGTCTGGGATAATTAGGTTTCTAAATGCTTTCATAGCCAAATGTTTCTTAGGTAAATTGTGGGGGGGGAGGGCGGGGTAATTTTAAATTCCACATCTCAAGTGTACAAAGTTGGACGAGAAATTTGTGCTTGGTGAAAGTTAGAATTTATGCGCGCCACTGGATGTCATCTTATTTGCTGAATGACCCAACAAAAACTAGCCTCATCATTTTGAGATCTTGGGTTTGATCCCCGGTAGAGTGGTAGAGAATGCATGTACTGCTGAACCAAGTCCCAGACTTAGGACGCAACCGTTCTCTAGTCTCCAGTAGGTTGGTTCTCCAACTGATGTCAACTCGTTTTCTAACTTGAAATCACCAAATATATTTGTTTATACTACTGGCAGTAATCTCTTGCTAAGTTGTGTTACATACATGATGATCTGTACTCATAAAAATAGTCACTATCATGTCTGAAGTAACACAGCATGTTAAGTAGTAATCACTGCCTAGGTATTCTTTGAATAACTACTATAATAATAATATTAATAATTTTTGCTTTATTCCAAAAACAGTACTAATGATATAGCAAGCCATTTTCAGCATTCAATACAATATTGCATCTAATTTACTCAAAAACGACATAAAAAATAAACATTACATAATAGTAATGATAATAATAAAACGTTGTTATAGCAGCTATGTAGGAAATTACAGTATGTGTGTGATACGGAGAAAAATATGCATAAAGTATAAAATTATAGTGATGATAGTAATAACAACTAAACTAAAATATCAAAGTTATAATTAAACGAAAGAAAGGGTGACACCATAAAATTAATTACAGAAAGATGAATAATGGAAGGGTCGATTCACTTTGCTAATTACATAGTAACTTATATGTTTCACTTCGAACAGTGTCTTCATCACATAAAATACGGGTTAAATACGGTATTGTAGAATTTTTGTACTTAGTGGTTCGAGCATATAACTCCTTATATTGACTTCTCGTCCTACCTGATGAGATGCAAGGCGATAGTTGTGAATAAAGGGGGTGCAGGGGGTCTGACAGTACGGCCGTTGCCCATTTTGTACAGGAATTTATGTGTCTCTCGGCTATGGTATTGGCGAGCTCACGCAGTGGCATACCACAAGCCCTACTCACGGCATTTAATACCCTTCGTAATATGATATAGTCTTTTTTGAGAAGCCCAGGAAAGATTAATGGAGAGCAATAGAGTACAGTAGGTAAAATACAGGAGTTTACAAACTGCAGAAGTAAAAGTTGGCTGATACCTGATTGTCTTAACTTTTTAATATAGAAAGTAAGACGAAACATTTTCTTAGAGATTGATAAGATGTGGGATGACTATGAAAGGTCAGAGGAAAGAACTAATCCAAGGTATTTATTGCTTGACTTGGTTTCATTTTCAGTGCCATCTATGCTACAGGTATCATTGGGACTAACTAGTTCATGTAAGTCACGTCGATGCTTGAAAGTAAGAAAAAAAAAAAAAAAAAAAAAAAAAAAAAAAATAAGACCATTTGACTTAGACCACTTGCTGATGTTCAACAGAAAGCTATTAAGTTTAGAGCTGTCAGACTCGGAAGTGATAGGCAGTGATACAGTCAGATCATCTGCATATTTGACAAAGTTAGTTTCGTTTGAATGAGGTAGGTCATGTAGGAAGAAAGAAAAAAGAAAAGGAGAGAGGACAGCACCTTGTGGAACACCGGCTTTTGAAAGCGAGGTAGAAGAAGATTTGCCATTATATACAGTATACTGCAATCAATCAGAAAAATAAGAATGCAACCAACTCTTTACCCAGGATCCTGTTTGCATCAACAAAAGCTTATTTAATAAAAGGCCCCTAGGTACAGAGTCAAAAGCAGATGTGTAGTCTAAGAAAGCACCACGAACATATTTGGCACCTTTGTCTAAACAAGAAAGAACATTATGATATAAAACAACCACAGCATCCAAGGTACTTCTACCATGTTTGTATGCCAATTGTTTAGGATCATTAAAAGGTTTCAATGAAGGTTCAAGACGAAGTAAAAGTAATTTTTCCATCAATTTAAAAAAAGGAGAAATAATTGCAATAGGCCGAAATTTAATATCAGAACCAGAAGATGGTTTTGGTATAGGGATAATTTTAATGCTTTTCCATGCAAAAGGTAGAACGTTACCGGAAAAAAGGAAGCATTAAAAATGTGAGTAAGAGGGTAACACAAAATATCAGCACAGTTCCTGAGGACAATGGCAGGTATGCCGTCGGGACCAAGGCTTTGAGAAGGCTTAAGAGACCGGAGACATTTAAGGACATCAAGGGTATTAAATCCACTAAAATTA